GAGGGCAGTGTCACTGGCCCTCATATGTGGGATCCGAACCCGGGCCCTCTGGAGTCCCAAGGCAGCTCTTAACCAACGCGCCACTTGGCCAGCCCTCAGTTTCCATCTCTTTGTTAGTTCTACACTCTGAGTCGCTCCTTTACTCCGTCTCCATCATCTTATTCGGCTTACCCACTGGATTTATTCAGCAATTCCATTCTTTTAAAAAATATTTTTTTTAAAGTTCATCAGTTCCATTCTCCATGTGAGAACTCGCTAATGCGCAGGATTTCTTGCACAGCTGCTTCCTGTCCTGTGGGTGTGATGATCTTTCGCACCCTTCCACAGAGACTAGTTGGACTAGTTCAGGAACCGCTGGGTCCTCCACAGCTGACAGTGGAGCTGGTCTCCCTGATCTTCCAGGCCCTGAGGGTCCAAGGGCATCTCTTGGTGTCGGGAATGAAGTCCCGTGGGCGGTGTGGGCACCTGGCTCATCTTTTCTTTGTGGAGGCCGGGTTGTGGGTGCTGGTGCTGGTGAGTGGGTGGGTTTGCCACCTGCAGGCCTCCCTGGAAGCTCTCCAGTGCCACTTGGGGCCCCATCCAGGTGGCTGGACAGAGCACAGTTGGAGCTGTGAGGTCTTCCCAGACCCTGACCTCCTCCAAGACGGCTCAGCTCTGCCTCCCTGCCCTCCCGCCCAGGGAGGGTCAGGGGGGGGGTCTCCACAAGCCATGGCCGCCTTGCCCCCGCAGGTGGAGCGCGTTGTGCACCTGCTGCTGCAGCAGCAGTATGAGCTGCACCGGGAGCGCCTGGAGCAGCGCTGTGAGCAGCGCCCGGCCGAGCACGTGCTGTACCACGGCACCACGGCAACCGCTGTCGCTGACATCTGCGCCTATGGCTTTAACCGCAGCTTCTGCGGCCGCAACGGTGAGGCCGGGACCAGGCAGGGGAGCGGGTTCTGCCCACCCTGGCGACCCTGACCCCCGCCCATCCCACTCGCAGGCACACTCTACGGGCAGGGCGTGTACTTCGCCAAGCGCGCCTCCCTATCGGTGCAAGACCGCTACTCGCCCCCCAACGCCGATGGCCACAAGGCGGTGTTCGTGGCGCGGGTGCTGACGGGCGACTACGGGCAAGGCCGCCGGGGGTTGCGGGCGCCCCCTCTGCGGGCCCCTGGCCACGCGCTCCTACGTTATGACAGCGCCGTGGACTGCCTTCACCAGCCCAGCATCTTCGTCATTTTCCACGACACCCAGGCGCTGCCCACCCACCTCATCACGTGCGAGCACATGCCCCAAGCTCCCCCAGGGAACCCCATTGGGCTCTTGGGCAACTTCCTGGCCAGCTAACTCTAGAGGCCCCGCACGACTCTTCATTTGACTTCAGGCTCCCGCTCCGTACGGCCTTACCGCACCCTTGGCTGCCTGAGCTGCCCTGGGGGTGTCCCTGCTACCGGCTGCAGTGCGGAGACCGGTGGCGCGACAACGAGGGCTGGGGCCCGGTACCCGCCTGGGCCTGCCCAGCCACCACACCGGGGTTCACAGAGCCCGGGCGGAGGGCCCAGGGCCCGACACCGCCCGCCTCGGCCAGACCTCGCCCAAGCGGATTCTGTCATTTGAATAAACGTGAAACCAGGCGGAGGAACTCGATGCAGCTCCGGATCGATCTCTGTTGGGGGAGGGGGAGGGACCTCGGCGTGTCTAGGGGCAGGGGCGGCGGGGGCAGAGTCCGTGCTCCTTTGGGGCGGTCCTGGGCTGCCGGCAAGGCTAACCCAGCGCGTACCGAGCGACCCCACGTCGCCTTAGTGTCACGCATGCTCCCTCAACAACGTCTCCTTGCCGACCGGCCCGCCCTGCACACGTTGGGGAGGCGGCTGTGCCCAGCGATAGGGGTTGTGCGCGGCTGGGGCGCTGCCCAGGCCGAGCCGCACTCGCGTTCCAGCCCCGCCGCCTCGGTGAGCCCCTGGCCCCGCGCGCACACTGGTCCCCGGATCGCACGGGCGGCGCTCGGTTTGGAGCCTGGGCGGGGCTCCGGGCTCGCCCCGCCTGCGCCGTCTCCGCAGCTCTCCCGGTCCAAGCAGTCTGGCTGCAGCGGCCGAGCCTAGCCGAGCTGAGCTACCAGGCACGTAAGACCGGGACCGGGATGGAGAGGCGCGCATCGTGCAGAAACTGAGGGGTGGGGGTGAAGAGGGGCTCTCCGGCCGCAGGCGTCCCGGAACTAGGGGCTGTGTCGCGGCCCATTCTCCCTCCGGAGGACACCACCTCTGCGCGCCGGAGACTGCGGAACTGGACGGGCGGTGCCCGGGGTGTGGGCAGGAAAGACTGTTGGGTTGGCGCGGACAACCGCGGGGCACCAGTCTGGGGGCAGAAGCAGAGGCGGCCTGTGGGAGGCGGGGCGGGGCGGAGTGGCCCCCAGCTCGGTGCCCGCTGCCTCCTCAGCCTTTAGCCTGAGGGCAGAGGCACAGTGCCCACATTGTGCCCCCACGCCACCCCACCCCCGCCGGGACAGAGCGCCATTCACCTCCCGCACGCCAGCGTTCTTGGGGGTGGGGGAGCTGAGAAGTGCGCGCGTGGGTGTGCGGGCGCCCTGGCAGCGCTGGCGGGTGCGGGTGTGAGTGTGTGCACGGCGCGCTGCTGGAGCAGCGGTCCGAGCTCCCTCCCAGCCTTGCGGCAGCCGAGCTCCTGCGGCCCACGCCGCTGCGGCTCCAGCTATTTATAGGCGTTCACTGCGGAGACCGAGGTGGGACTGTGCGGGGCTGGGGGTGGGGTGGGGACACGGGGAGTCCTAGAGGCTGAGACAGGTCTCAGGTAGGAGGTAGAGCGCCGCTGTACAGGGGATGGGGTCAGGATCCTTCCCCGATGGGAGGGGAGGGGGGTGACCTGGCTTTCCTGCTGATCAGAGGTTTGGAGGAGACAGGGTCCAGGTTTGGGATGGGGGGGGGAGGCCAGCTCCTGAGTGATGGGGTGGAGGGGAGGGTCAGTGTCCAAGTGAAGGTAATCGTCTCCACCCATTCCCGTTGGACAGGGTAGAGGGTGGAGGGTGGGGGCAGAGCCCTTTGATGGGGTTAGCCCATAGATGACAGCGTGGAGGGGTTAGCATTTGAGTGACTAAGAGAAGGGAGGGGCAGCCAGTGGGGGGAGTCAATGTCCTAGCGATAGACTGGCAGGAGTGAGCTCAGTGTCTGGGAGGGGTCACTGTGCGGTATCTGAGCGGGGGTGAGCTGGAGGGGCAGAGGCCAGCTGTGGACTGGGGAGACAGGTCGTGGATATCTAGGTTAGAGGGTGGGGTTCTGTGTGGATGAGGTGAAACATAGGAGGAGTGTGGGTGTCAGTGTCCGGGTAATAGGGTGGGTGGGTGGGGCCAGTGTCTAGGTTAAGGTGGTGGGCCAGTGTGCAGTACCCTCCCAGGGCTGTGACCCGCCCCCTCCTGCTCCCTCTCCAGGAGACCATGTCGGGAGAGGACCAGGAGGTGCCGGCAGTGGCTGAGGATGGCTCCAACGGAGGCAGCGGCTCACCCAGCCCCGGGGACACACTGCCTTGGAACCTGGGGAAGACACAGCGGAGTCGGAGACGCGGAGGTGGCTCTGGGGGCAATGGGAGTGTCTTGGACCCTGCCGAGAGGGCAGTCATCCGCATTGCAGGTAACGCGGAAGGGCCTCCTCTGTTCAGTGTGTATGTGCTGGCTTGTTGACAGAGCACCTGCTGTGTGCAGGTGTAGGACTGGGAGGAGAGGGCTTCTCCTGTCCCAGGTGACTGCAGGCAGCACAGCGCCACCTGCTGGCCCCACCCAGTTTGCTACATGAGGCCTGAGGTTGAGCTTCCTGAAGTTGAGCTTGCTGCGGTGGCGCCATCACTGGTCAGGTGACAAGGGTCCAGTGCTCAAATTTCAAGATACTTTCTAGGGCTCCTGAGGCAGAGTTGCCTCCTAGGCCCTTGGCCTGTGCTGCCACTATAGGGGGCAGTGGAAGCATGTAGCAGCAGCACAGGAGGGACCCCCTCACCGCCCCTTCCCCCCCCCAACCAGGCCTTTCTAGTAGCTGCCATTCTGGGGACGAGGATGGGAAAGGCCCAGCGAGAGACCCCCCAACAGTGTAGGGCTGGCAGCTGGACACTGGACCCTCCCTTTGGGAAGCCGGAAGCCCCTGTGGGATGTGCTGAGCCAGGGAGGAGCCTGCTTAGGGTCTCTACACCGAGGCTGTGCAGTCCTGACAGCATTTCACCACTAGGACCAGGCCAGGCATCCTGGAGGGCGGGGCTGGCCCCTGAGGAGGCCAGGAGGGAGATTCGAGGCCTGCGGGGAGAGGCCGGAAGGCCAGCTGCAGAGCAAGGACGGTGCTGGGGTCAGCGAGGGACTTTGTGGGTGGAAGTACATGCAAGAGCCCGTGGAAACGCAGAGGGCCAGGACGACAGGATGGCTGCCCCCAACCCCAGGGGCCGTATGAGCTGCCAGCCCTTTTCACACACCACATACGGATTTTAAAAACGAGGTCCTTTTTTACCCACATGAAAGCCAGTCAGGGACGGTCTTCCACACCCTGGCCTTTCTTCGAGTCTCCCGGCCCCGTGCTGGGGTCTGCAGCTCTCATGTCCACGAGCTATGCGGCAGCCAGGGCCCAGGGCAGGGCCTCTGTGCACTGGCCTGCTACTGTCTTAGGAGGATTCCTAGAAGAGGGGCTTCCAGTCACGAGTATGTCCTGGAGTAGAATTAACCCCTGGTTGTTCACAAAAGGTGAAAGAATTCACAGACTCAGAAAAGTAAAAAAGCAAAGACAGTTTTATTAAAGGTTGGGCAGAGAGAGAATGTCTGTGGCCGAGTCCAAAGAAGACGGCTGCCCCCCGGTAGTAAAGAAACACCAGCGGGTGCGCGGCGCGTGTGTGTGTGTGTGTGTGTGTGTGTGTGTGTGTGTGTTACGGGGCAGAGTCTCAGGGTGGACAGCTGTACCCAACTTCAGGTTAGCTTTTTCTTATATAGAAAAGGGGAGTCTGTCAGGCAGGTATGAGGGCTGATGTCACTTCCTAGGGTCTGGTCTGTTTGAAGACAATGTTATCTCTGGACTTGGACTTGGCCACTGCGGCCTGGGACTTTATGTGTCACCAGTAAAAACTGCAAGGGAGTTGTAAATTGGATTCCAGTGTCAGGGCACCTGAGGATCAGGATGGATCAAACTGCAAACTAAGTCTAATTACATTATTGATTTACTGAATTTCACCCTTCCAGGGTATGCAGCACTTAAGGGAGAGGCGGGGGTGTTCCAGAGAGGAGAACATTTGTCAGGGCTGAGAGACAGGGGTCTTTGCCACTTTGATGGGTGGAAAAGAATGTCTGATTTTCACCAAGCGTTTTCTTTCTTCTGTAAATTTCCCATTTCATTCCTTTTACACAAAGTTGTTGTTGCTTTTTCCCGTTTTAAGGGCCCTTTTTATGTTGCTAATACAAACTCTAGCTCCAATGTTGCAAGGGAAGAATGCCAGGGAGCCGCGGAGGGAGCAGAGGGATGAGGGAGGGGCGCGCCGGCGGAGGTCAGGTGAGCTCGCTGGACCTGGCAGGGTCGCCGGAAAGGTCGAACTGGCGAGGGAGGGGGCCGCTGCGGGGCTGGGAGCGGGGCGAGGGGTATTCAGGCTGTTGGCAGGCCCACGACCCGGTCGGGAGCGGGAAGGGGTGTGCGCCCGCTGGCACGCGCGTGGGGCCGAGACTCGGAGCCCGCGGAGCCCGCTCCAGCGGAGCCAAGGCCCGCAGGCGCCCAGGCGCGCGGCCGCAGCTCCCCTGGGCCGGGCCGGCCCCGGTCCCCGGGCCCCGCCCTACCCCACCCCGCCCGTGGGGCATCCTGGGTGCGGGGCGGGGCGGGGGCGGCCCCTTTAAGCGGCGTTTGCGACCGCAGGGACAGAGTGGCGGCGGAGGGCTGGAGGCTCGCTCCGCGCCGCAGCGCCCCGCCGCGTCCCGTGCCCGCCGGCATGGCCGCCCTGCTGCCTCCCGGCCCGCCGCCCGACGAGCAGGACTTCATCCAGGCCTACGAGGAGGTGTGGGAGAGGTACAAAGGTACGGCGCCGCCGGCCCGGGCAGCCCCTCCAGCCTGACAGCCCGGCCGCTGACACCTTGTCCGCAGTTGCCGTCCCCATCGCGGCCCAGACAGAGCCCAGCCCCCTCCCGCCTCGCCGGACCCCGCGGCCCCGGCGCCCAGGGACGAAGCCGGCGCGCTCGGCGCAGCCCCCTCAGTCATGCCCTTAATAGGGCATCGCGCGGCGCGGGTAGCTGGGGTGGGCCGTGTCTCAGCGGGGGCTCCCAGGGCCAGCGTCCAGTGTCCGGAGTCTATGCTCAGCAGACACGTGGGTCAAGGCTGAGCTGGGTGCCTCCCCCGTGGGGCGGGGGCGGCTGCCACCGCCTGGCAGTGGGTCGCATAGTTGTGGCCTCTTCTCACCTCCCAAACTGGCCAGCGCCTAGGTTGCCGCCCTTCCTTGGCAGGGACCCCTGTTATACCCCTTCAGTGTCCCCTGGGGGACAGCTGTGGGCTGGGGACGTCAAGGCAGTCCCCTTTTCCTCTTTAGAGGAACCCGCTCTGTGGCTTTTGGCAGACCCCCTCTCCTGCTCCACGCCCCCTGGGGCCTATGTGGACCTGCCCAGATTCTTAACTGCTGTCAGCCACCAGC